GCAGTATTAGAGATGTCTCAGAGACAAAAGGAACAGCAGGCAGCAGACGGGCAGCCTCCAGCAGGTCCTAATGGAGAACTACAGTTCCAGCCAGAGACACAAAAAGGTAAACAATCTGAGATAGGATGTATGTGGTATTGTTGGTATGAATTTCTGTTGTACCAGTTTTTATTGTGTGAATCTTTATTTCTTTCTCTCACAGAGGCAAAAGCTCCAGCTGAGCACGAAGCCGCAGCCCAGAATAATCTGCCTGCAGAGCCTCCACAGAATCTGCCTATACACACTTAACACAGTGCACTCTGACAGCCTTAACATGCACACACACACACACACACACACACACACACACACACACACACACACACACACACACAGTCATTGCACTGACACAGATATCCAGATGGGTTCTACAAAATGAATTATGTGAACTGTATATATAAATTCAGACAGACTTGGCTGGTGAATCATGGCGTATTGTACTGTGTTCATTTCTGTGGTCTACATTAGATTAAAGATCTCAAAACAACAGACAACATTGTGTATTTTCAGAAATCTTCAGTTTCAGTGAAGTTTTCATTAATGCTTCAGTGTAAAATCTCAAACCTCTTCAAATAAAGTCTTAATTTTAATCCCTCTGAACCAGACTGCTCAGACTTTAATTACGTGGGTGACCACTGGCCAGGACTATCTACACTCCAACTTGTGTTTTCCTCTCCTCCCTGTTAACTCGCATACAACAGTAATGCAGCATGAGATTGTATTCCTGGTGAATGGCATTTTTCTCCACAGATCAGTCAGAAAGCAGTATTATTAAACTCCAATGTTTATCTTTCTTGAAACTCGGCCTCTAGGTCAAGTTTTCTCATTAGATTAGAGACGGACATTTTGATGTCAGGTGTTGACAAGTTGCACAACTAAATGCAGCTTACTCTAAACGTTAAATACAAAATAAAGAGCCCAGTTTTTTGGATCCAATTTTGCAGCCTTGCTACAGAATTAAAAGATCCAAATGTTGGAAAAACAAAAAATAAATTTGTGAGCCCGTTGTAAAAATAAACCTTATTCACTTGTCTCTGAGGCCAGATCTGGTCCCTGAGTTTGTGAGCCCTGCTCTACCCTTGTACAAATTACAAATGCTAGAGGTTTTATTTTTAATGATTGTTTTTTTCTTAGGTATATATGCTTTTCAAAGTATACAAATCAAATCATGCTTAGTTTTTCCTGGCAGTGTAAATTGTGTGAGATAAGATGAGCTGTTATTGATCCACAAAGACAAATAAGTACAGGAAGTACAGATAAACAGTAGAAGTAAGAAATAAAATAGTGATAGAAATCAACTTGCACCTCAAACTAATATCTCTAATGTCTCTGAACAAAGTCACATAATGGTGTTATCAGCAGCAAGTCAGTAAGGTACGGTATACTAAACACCATATGTAGTTTAGTTTGATGGAGGATCACATGATATATTGCATCAAGTGCATTGTATATATAATATTGTATTTATGTAAGCATAAGGATAATTTGATGCAAACCACTATAACAGTGTGCAATAAAATATAGTAGAGTATTATAAGTGATAATAAATGAAGAGAAGTTGTTGAGTGTCCTGAGTTTGAAATGGATCCATGTGTATCACCCTGTTGAGATGTGGGGCCTCCTCCTCCTCCTCCCCCCCCTCTTCCTCCTTTGGCTCACTGTATGTCTCTGCAGACACTGGGCCTGTTGTGCACTGTCATGGCTCCCTAGGGACCTGCTGATCCTTGTTGTTGTCCCGCTGAGAAGATGCTCCTCTGGCCGCCGCTCAGGGCATTCCTATCTGCATTCCTCTAACCCGCTGACCTCTCATGACCCTGCATGGCCCCTCCTCTCCTGGTGTCCATGCAGCTGCCTCCTGTCAGTCACTGCTGTCAAGTCATCCAGATAAAGATGTCTTAAAGAAGCTGCCTGCATAATGAAGTCAGTGTTTATTATGATGCAATCTTTAGACTTCAGAGACACAGCAGAGCAGATTTATTTTGAAATCTTCAATCTCTTGGATATTGAAGCAAATACAGCTGTTCCTCCATCAGAGTCATCATCTTATTGAGTGTAACCATGCACTTTATGGTTGCACAATGGATGTTTTGATATTTTCCAGCCCGTGTCTGCCATTATCGATACCAAAATACACTTCTGTTTTAGCACAGATGCAGGTGCAATACAGATAAATCATTATACATGTATTCTGTTGCAAATTAAGTTGCATAGTCCAAGAGGGGAAAAAAAGACATTGTCAGCATACGTTAGAGACATTATTAGTGTGTCTTCTGTTATGCAAAAGCCAATGAGAGATGCTTTAACTACAAACAGTGGTTTTATAAACTAAGATGAAAATTTACTTTTAAAACCATTTTTGTAAGCTGAGATAAAAACTCAAGTAAGAATTGATGAACACCTAACGCGTTCAACAATGAAATGTTTTTTTAAATGCCAGTAACTGTTTATATCACACAATAATACCTTAATTTAAAAAATCAAAAACAAGTTGAAATTGAAGATTATATTTCAACCTATACTTTATAACCTAAAGAAAAGTAAACCGTTACACATATGGGGTCTTATTATTCATTTTGCAGCATTGTGCCTGTCTTTATTTTATAACCTGTTCAGAGCTCAGCCAATGTCCTTCAAGATGAGCTGTTCTGCTCCCTGCGGGAACTTAAACAGGTCTGTTGTTGTGTTGTGTCTTGTTTCAGACCAGAGGTAGCTCTGAAGCTGTCAACACACTGTCAGTCTGTCTGTTAGGACATCATGGCAGGAGGACATGATGCAGTGAGATCGTGTGTATATACTGTGTTTTAAAGGTACCTTTTACTTAGAAATACTGAAACTTTACTTGAAAACTTTCATGCTGTGAGACAGTCAGTGATGGAAGACATATTCAGATCCTTTACTTAAGTTAAGTGAAGTTAAGTACTAATATCACACTGTACCCCACTGCATGTAAAAGTCTTCATTCAAAACCTTACTTAAGTAAAAGTAATGTAATTATTATTAGCTAAATGTACTTGTTGTAGTGTTGCTGTCCTGTGAGAACCATCCATCCATCCATCGTCAGCCGCTTATCCTGCGTACAGGGTCGCGGGCGGCTGGAGCCTATCCCAGCTGACACTGGGCGAAAGGCGGGGTACACCTTGGACAGGTGATCAGTCCATCGCAGGTCCTGTGACAACCACATATCTCTAAAAAGTCATCTTTTGAGATGTAATAGAGCAGAAGTGTAAAGTTGCATAAAATGGAAGTACAAGCACTTAAAATTTGAACTAAAGCAGAATAGTTGAGTAAATGTACTTACTGTTATATTCCATTACTGAAGACTGTGTTCATTTACTTGATAACACAATGAATTATTGTACTTTTTCTACTCTAGATTTTTCATTATATTGCAGTTACTGGTTCTTTTCCAGAAAGACAAACTTGATGTACTGTTAGAATTTAAAGTAGCCAGCAACATACATTATTTTATCCAGTTAAACAACAAGTTGCAGTAACAGTCCTTGCATGAAAAAATAACAGTGAAAAGAACAAATCTTCACTAAGAGTCATTTAGAAGATTTTGCTGCACTTCATTCAACTAAAGTAAAAATGTAACAGTATGATTTTTTTTACTTTTAATAGAGTATTATTCCATGATATGGATATTAATACTCTCAGTAAAGTAAAGAATAAGAGTTCTTCCTTACTAACTGGCTGTGACCATTGTGGCAATGTAATTCTGTAAATGGAGCCTCCTCCTTTGGCTGTTGTACTGAGCCTTCAGAATGAGACCTCATTTGGGCGCCGTTGCCAAATCACTGTGTTGTTGTCCGTTCCTCACTGGTCTCTCTTTTTATGTTATTTAAATTTTAGATGATCTTGTCATATCAGGTTGACTGGTCTTCAGGGCTTTGTAGATAATTGTACTGTTATTTTATCTTGTTTTTTGAGGCAGTTTATCAAGTCTCTAATTCAGAAAAACTGGAGAACTTCTTTTTAAGTGACTCACCTCTCAGGTTGCTCTGATCAGTCTGATCTGTTATTGTTCAGAGAGGGATTTTGCTTAAACACAGTGCAAGTGTGTGTGTGTGTGTGTGTGTGTGTGTGTAAAATCTCAATATGAAAACTAAAATATACTACAATAAATACACATACACAATACAGAGTACAAGTGGTAGCATAAAATCAGTGCAGGGGATTTTGTTGGCCATCATTAGAATTTTGAACTGTTTGGTTCTGTTCAAGCAAGCTGGCCTTTGCAATAATATTAGTACTAACACTCAAACAAATGTTACAAATGTTATGAACTAGCTCTATAGTGTCAGATAGGACACTGACAAGTACTTTATGCACTTTATGTCTTGAGTTATTGCATTATTGTGTGCCTTGTGTGCGAAAAGAGTTTCAACTGTACTGTAATCATCACTGCAAATGCAGACGACATTTTGCCTCATAAAACTATAACCTACAGCAAAAAAAAAAATACAATTTCTGAGTCTTAAAAGTGATCCAGCAAAAGCGTTTCAGCCCTGTGAAGGTGATCAGCTGCTTATTCTCCCAGACCCTCTTTCAGTCCTCCATCTCTTTAAAATATATTTTCCAAATTTCATTTGGATGCACTTTGAGTTTCGCTGGTGTGAGATACTGCACATCACCCCCTCCGAGAGGACATTACGTCACCTCCAACACCTACCCTCCCTCACTACCTAGGGGCTTAAGACCCGCCTCCACTAAGATCTGATTGGCTGACAGACCAAGCCTCATTCTTACTGACATGCCGATTTTAAGTAGCGGGACATTTAATGATAATAAAGAAATGTGTCTCATGTTTAATCAAATTTCTTTTAATAAAATAATCATCCCTCCATTATATATATATATATATTGCAATTTTTAAGTTGTTGAGTGCTGACTGCGACCTTTTAAATGTTCCCCATAGCCCTCAATTTCACGCACACGAAAAAACGAGTCCATGATGGAGCCCAGACTTTTGGCCTGAAACCGTATGTTAGTAGTGAAATGCATTTACCTTATTGAGTCGCCAGAGGGTGTAATTCTTTAATTATTTTGGCAAGTTTCATGTACCACACAGAAAAAATAAATTGAGGAAATCTTTCTCACTCATAACTGGTTCTGTGATGTTCATTGATTGTGTGTTTAAAGGTAGAAAACTGCAATAAAGAGCAGTTATGAGTGATGAAAGGAAGGATGTGAGGAGTTCACGTGATAATAGCCGGTAAAAGCTTCTTTCTTTAAGACCCAGCATTTTACAGAGGAGGAGAAATGAGGCAAGATAAACGATGGGAGGTCGTCAAGTTACACAGGAACATCAGGAAGGAGGGCCGGAAGAGGGATTGTATGTCTTCAGAATAAAGTTTCAACTTGATTAGCTTAATCATTTTATTTAAGGAAGTAATTTATCGGTAATTGTTCATTTTTAACAGACTGATTATGCTCATTTTCAACAAAATGTGTTCGTACACTTGTCCTAGGTTGCTGGCTGTTTCCTATTACCCATCCTGCAAATCAGTTTTTCCCAAACTTTTTGGCTTTAAAGCAAAACAATGTCTGCACACAAACAGGTTTAATATGCTTAGTTGCAAGCAGTTCAACCAAAGAGT